TTATGTAACCATGGTTCCCTGAGTAGGGAACGAGACACTGCGTCCTCTAGGTTTCTTGCCATGCTGCGGACGCAAGCTTCAGACGAAGAAGTGAATGATGTGTAGCTCCCGGCGCCTATTTATACTATAGTCGCACCGGTAGTGACGTCATGGCTGTCGCCGGCTAACGAGTTGGCGTTTTTTCAATGTATGCTTCAGACACGGGTCACGACGAGGCGTTCCCCATAGCGACCCCTAGAGGACGCAGTGTCTCGTTCCCTACTCAGGGAATCATGGTTACATAAGTAACCTGAGACGTTATTCATAAACTGAGTAAAAATAAAGATACATTGAGTCAAATTAAAACCTAGTAATTGAGTCTGTAAATACAGTAGAATTCAGAATCCAGATGGCACTGTGTGGTCAGAAGCAACAAAAATGGAAACCGTCATTTATTAAATTATTTGTGTTTCTGGGAAGTTTTTATTTTTGTTGCAATCCAGACCACAGACAGGATCATTTTAGATTGGTGAATTTGAGGTCTGACCCTTGACCCCTCCAATTTAGGCTTGAATGTCCCAAAGGAGGGCAAAATGAAAGGAGGTCAAGTGTATATATCTAAAATATTACATGCTTCATTTTACATACAAAATTTTAGGACTTTCACATAACATTTCAGTAACAACAAACATTAGATTACAAGTTACTCAGAGTGTGTATTTTCAGTAAGTTGCAGGAGGAGGTAACCATAGCAACAGTTGGCTGCTCAAGTGCTTTTCATTAGGATCAATGGACAGTAGACGACGTAATGTCATTATTTAGCACTTTATTATAAATTTAAATTGATCCCCGTCAATTGTGCTGTATAAATCACACCATAGTACAGACAAAAATTGTTTAGCATTTTTGACACCACATTTGTTGTTAATATCTGAAAGAATTTGAAGAATTTGGCAACAGAAGTGTGTTCTAGAAACCTCAGCTCCACACATTTCTATGCAATTTTTGACCCAATTGACCCAAAAATGAAAATGTGCTGAAACTTTACTAACCCTCGGGCCATCCAGGGCTGCGTTTCCCAAAAGCTTCGTAAGCCTAAGAAGTTCGTAAAAATGATTGTACGACTGATCTTAATATTACGGTCTGCTTCCCAAAAGCATCGTAACTTAAGTAGCACTTGAAAATCATCGTAGTGCTCTGGAGTAATCCCTAAGTGCTAAGTGCATCGTAAGAAGACAGATTTAAGCGGTCACCTGCAGGACAATCGGCAGATCGCACTTTATTCAATATTCAAGTGCAATGTGATTATAATATAAAGTTCTGATTGTACTGTATTCTACACTTTATTAATAGTTTTTTTGTTTGTTTTTTTTAATTAATTTATAAATGAAATAATTAAAAAGGGCAGAAAAAATAGAAATACACATCTAAATTAAATGACTGAACAAAAAAAAAAATGAATAAAAGAAGTAATGTAGGAAATATGCTTCAAAGACTGGGGGGAAAAAATCTCTCAATGACTTACTGACGTGCACGAAAACCAATGTATTGAACCCGGAAATAACTTCTCTATATAGATATTATATACTATAATATATATGTTTGTATAAAGTATATTGTATATTTTTATGTAAAGTATAATATTATTGTATAAATGTAATATAATATAATATAATATATTATATTATATTATATTATATTATATTATATTATATCAGAGTTGTCTGGAACGCAGCATTAGGTTAACATTTCAATAAACGAGTGTTTACTACAATTACGAGCCATTCTATAAGGTGACATTTCAGCACTTGACAAATGGATAGCGACTCCTAAGTAGCACTTAAAGCACAGCTACGTGCGATTGCGTTAAGTGAATTTTTGGGAAACGCACGTGAAACAATAATGAACGATCGTAAAATGACTTGTAGAAAACGCTCTTAACGAACGATCGTAAAAAGACTCGTAGAAAACGCTCTTAAGTGCTAAGATCAATCGTTATCGAGAAACGCAGCCCAGATGGGTTTGTTTCTTCATCAGAACAGATTTGGAGAAATGTAGCATTACATCACTTGCTCACCAGTGGATCCTCTGCAGTGAATGGGTGCCGTCAGAATGAGAGGCCAAACAGCTGATAAAAACATCTCAATAATCCACAAGCAATTCACACCACTCCAGTCCATCTATTAACATCTTGTGAAGAAAAAAGTTTGTAAGAAACAAATCCATCATTAAGATGTTTTAACTTGAAATCATTGCTTTGGGTTAAAATATGAGTCCATAATGAATAATAACCATTTGGCCAGTAAAAAAAAGTCCATCTCCTGTTGTCTTCACACATCAAAATCTACCAATATATTGTTAGAACTGTTTTTCACTGTTTTTCACTTGTAAACGGTGCTTGATCTGTGTATATTTCTCTTTTGATTCAGACAAGATGACTTTTTCACTGGAGAAATCGAAATTATGGATAGAGGATACTTTTAAAGTCATACATGTCTTACAGATAGATTTGTTTCTAAGACGTTAACTGATGGATTGGAGTGGTGTGGATTACTTGTGGATTATTGTGATGTTTTTATCAGCTGTTTGGACTCTCATTCTGACGGCACCCATTCACTGCAGAAGCTCAACTTGTGAGCAAGTGATGTAATGCTACATTTCTCTAAATCTGTTCTCATCTACAATAATTCATCTACATCTTGGGTAGCCTGAGGGTGTTTTTGAGGACAACCAGTTTTAGCTGGATTTTTACAGCGATGGACATTCAATGCAACCCAGTAACAAACCCTATAGACAGAAATAACACAACTTAAAGATAAAGTTTGTGAAAGTTTTTTTATTTACCCACAGAGGGATAAATAGACGGGACCAGCACAGATTTTGCAGGTCGATTTTTCATCTTGTTTATATGCAGGCAAGTTGTTATTGGAAACATGATGGTTTTTGTGGCGCAAATGTATCCTGTTTGTTGCTGCTGTTTATTCGTCCTGCTCTTGTGCTGTTCTGGTTTATTTATGTGTTTTATCTGTTTGTTGATTCAGATGTGGCCCATACATTCAGAGATCTCCAACTGCGTCATCAAACGTGAGGAGGAGAGATGCTTGGAGCGAATTGCCCTGCACGACCCTAAAGATGACGAAGAGTTTGGTAAGAGAGAGCAAAGGCTATCAAACCCATTTACAGTATATACAGTATAATATGTATACAGAGTATATGCATGGAATATCCAGATGACCAAATGTGGCAAAATGTGAAGTGTACATCTAGTATGGAATTCTCTTACATAAACCAGTGCGTTTGATCTTCCAATTACAGTGTGAAAGATGAACAGGAAATGATAACGGCTAAAGTTTTCCCTTTCTAGAGTAATTTTCAATCCGACTGCATCAAACAGTGAGAGCCGCCTCTTTTGCACATGTCTGATTCACAGTGAACCGTGAACTGATGAGTGAGCTGATAGTAAGAGCATTTTTGTAAACAAAGATTTTGACCAATGGGGCAAAATATAAGTTACTTTAATAGCTGATTACAATAAAAAATATATATTTTTTTTTAAATAAATGTCATTGTCACATCTTCAAGGACCTGTTTTGTTGTGTTTCCTTCCCCATGTGCTCTGTGTGACCTAGTTTTCCCTCATGTCTGATTATTGTTATTTGGTTCAGGTGTGTGTCATTAATTACCTTCATCAGCCCTCCTATTTAAGTTGTGTTCAGTTCACTGTTTATCGTTCAGTCTACTTGTGCCGAGTTCACACTGCACGATTTTAGCCCGATTTTTCACTCGCCGACAGGTTTTGCGAATCGCCGACAAATGCCCAAAATCGGAGGCAAATGAGGTTCACGCGAGTGACAATCACGCAGTGTGAATTATCAAAGACGCCATCTGAGGGAATCGCCGATGCGTCGCTGACACCCGCAAAATATTTGGCATGCTAAATAGACATACAGCCAATGAGAGACCAAAGATACAGGGCAGCGGGAAGTTCGGGGAGGAGTTATATGAAACGTAGTTTGCGGACCAGTGTTGCCAAATCCGCGATTGCTGCCGGTTGTTTTTTATGTCAGCAGGTTGAAGCGACCCCAATAACGTGATATTTAGGCCCTGGAATGTGAATTGTACCAGGAGAACCCCGCCAAAAAAATGTGTATTTTACCCCCGAATGCGATTTTTACTGGGGGACCCCCTCGAAAGCAATTGGGCTATTTTCAGGCTAGTTTTGAGTAGTAATTGGGTGGGTTTTGTAGCAAAAACCTGGCAACCCTGCACCAGGCGATCCGACGAGTTTGAAAATCGTGCAGTGTGAACTCGGCATTAGTCCCTACGTGTTCTTCCTGCCCGTCCGTCTGTTGTTTGCCCTATTGTGGACTATTAATGACTATTTGCATCTATCTTCGCCTTCTTCGTGCGTGTATCTCACCGTAGTGTGACAGTAATTTAATTAAATTACATTTTCGTACGCAACCGTTCTAAAGTTTGGGATCAATAAGATATTGTTATTGAAAGAAGACTCTCATGCTTACCAAGGCTTCGTTTATTAGAAAATGCAGTAAAAACTGTAGAAAAAAAGGGAAATATTATTACAATTTAAAATAATGGTTTTCTATGTGAATATATTTAAAAATGTAATTTATTGCTGTGATCGAAGCTGAATTTTTAGCATCATTACTCCAGTCTTCAGTGTCACATGACCCTTCAGAAATCATCCTAATACGCTGATTTGCCGCTCAAGAAACATTTCTGATTATTATCAATGTTTAAAAATGTTGAATATTGTGATACATTTTTCTTCATGATTTTGTGTTGGACAGAAATTTCGAAAATTTTAAATGTTTTTTTAAACATTATAAATGCCTTTACTGTCACTTTTGATTAATTTAGTGCATCCTTGCTGAGTATTAAGTTCTTTACTCATTTTACTACCCACAAACTTTTGAACAATTGTGTAACTAAATTATATTTAAGTCTCTTTATATTTTATCAAGCTGAAATGGGATACATGAAATGACAACAAACACTCTTATTATTGAAACTCATGAGAAAAACTGTAATTTTTGCAACCATATGGCTTTATTGGACTGTGTAAGAGCATGTAATATGCCAGATGGGGATGTCAGCAACCATCAAAGAGCTGCTGAATCATTTTTTTAACTGACTCATTGAATTGAACAGTTCAATTCATAGAAGAGATTTGGAACTGTTACAATGCAACATTCCATCTAGCGTGTTTTCCATTCTGTCTTCCCATCTCACTCTCAGTCCTTCTTCTGAAAGAATAACTCATGATTCTCCATCTCTCCCAGAACCTCAATATACTAAATTAACTAGAACTTGCGTTCATTGTGTTCATTTCGCTCGGCGTGTACTAAATGTGTCATCCGTCCCCTATAGAGGTATTCAGGTATTGTGGCAAACAGGAAGCAGGGCTGTGACACCTGTCAGCAATTACAGAGAAGAGATGTTATTTTTGTGAGAGCTGGAGGACTCATCCAGTGGGATGTGGATAAATGGGCCGAGAGGAAGATGGAGAGAAAGCACTTTGACTCTGATTCATGTGTTTGCAGCCTCAAGGACACTCCATATAGTTCTGACTGTTTGGAGCAGAATATAACAGATTATAAGGTGTAAAACAGCTTGAGTTGCTAGAAAGACACTTGGTGGCGAATTTACTGAACAGTAAAAGTTTTACATGTGGAATTACTTCAGTGCCAAAACCTGCGTGTTTTTCAATAACCAACCGCAATCTAAAACCAGATGTGCTGTAGGTTGTCATTGCTATTCTTTTCAGAGCAATAGGCAGAATAGAGGCTTATTTCAAAAGGCAATCCTTTAGTTTTGTTTCAGTTTGATTCAGCAGTGAGTGGGTGAGATTTTTTTTAAGTCGTTTTAAGGTGAACAAAAATGGCAAAATATTACAAGATGTGCATGTTTAAATGTACACTACCTGTCAAAGGTTTGGACTCAGTAAGATAAGAAATTAACACTTTTATTGAGCAAGGATGCGTTAAATTGATAAAAAAAAATTACAGTTGGCATTTATGATGTTATAAAAGATGTTACATTTATGTTGTTCTATTCCGAATAAATGCTGTTCTTTTGAACTTTCTGTTCAGCAAAGAATCCTGCAAATGGAAAATATATGAATGTTTTCATAAAAAAAAATTGATTAGCACTATTTTCAGCATTTATAATAATAAGAAATGTTTCTTGTCAAATCAGCATATTAGAATGATTTCTGAAGGATCACGTGACACTGAAGACTGGAGTAATGATGCTGAAAATTCAGCTTTGCAGCACAGGAATAAATTACATTACAATATATTTAAAAAAGAAAACAGTTATTTTAAATAGTAAAAGTATTTCACAATATTGCTGTTTTTACTGTATTTTTAATCAAACAATTGAAGCCTTGGTGAGCATAAGAAAAAAAAAATCTTATTGACCCCAAACCTTTGAACGGCAGAGTATATGAACCTAAAAACAAGTAATAAATAATATGAATGTTTTTCTTAGCAGTTAAATGCACTGTAAGGTATGAAGGAAACTTCATTTTAACAAACTTGATGAGAAGAAGGTAAAGTGTTCGATTATGTGTGTTCAGACATCTCGTCTTTCAGCCTTGCTTCAAAGCCATTAAATTCTTGGCAAATTTTAGCCGTACAAATCAGCATCCTCTGGGGGCGGTTAAGCTAATTAGACGACAATAGTACCCTCAACCGCAACGGAGAGCAACATGCTTACCAGCAGAGAATTAAGCGTCAGTTTCAAGATATCTGCAAACCATTAAAACACCAGTAATTGAAACCCTTGTTAAACTCAAAGCTGTCATTGGTGGGGAAGGAGTGTGTACAGTAGCTGCAAAATATGGATTTAGTGAACTCAAGGTCATTCTGAGCACAGACACCTGTAATTTATACCTTCAAATGCATTTGATCTTGCATTTGATGATATAACAAACATTTTATGTGAAATATTTAGTTTGAATTGTGTGCTTGTGCTGTTTTTCTTTAGAGTAAATGCTGCTTGGTTTGACATTTTTGTGCATGTAATGCAGTGACTTTAGTGTCTCTGTGTTTTTGAACTGGGAGTATTTTGGAGGAATAACCTCTGTGTTCAGCTTGTTTACATCTGCTTCATTAATCCTCGTCCTCTCCTGTTCCTTAAAGCGCAGCAGGCTCATCGCTGCGCAGACAGAAAATCATTCAGCCAGAAATAAAACAGCCACGTTTGCAAGAAGGGGTTGAGAAAGAGATTGACAGATGCAGACAGAAAAAGCAAAAAGTGTGTGGGAGAGAAATTGAGACAAAAGAGAAAGTGAGCGAGAGTGGTAACACAGATAACACAGATATGAATAATCACTGCATTTTTACGTCACTAGTGCTGTCTGTCAAAAAAAGAAAGCAGTATCAACTGTTACTCACTGTCAACTGTTATGATTTTCATCTTGATTAATTATTTGATTGGTCTGCCAAAAGGTCAGATATTTTACACAGAATTGGGTTAAAAATGCTAAATAAATATATACAGTATATATATTTTTTTCAAAAGATGATAACATCTTGATGATACACTCGTTGAATTAAACATGCAATGTAATGTGACTGTTATTTTAGTATTATTTATATACTTTTATAGTTTTGTTATACTATTATAATATTTTATTATTAAGAGTTATAATATTAATATATTATTAGTTATAATGTTCCTATATTGTTGTAATATAATTGTTTGCTGCTAGAAATGATTCAGAGAGTCAGTGTTTGTGTCAGTATGAACACTTTTATCTGCATCTGGTTAGTTCGCTATTTCTCCGTCTCCCTCGCTCTCTCCCTCTGGTTTAGAGAGCTCTCGTTTGGCCTTTCAGATAATTGGCTTTGTGTCCGGAACGATTTGAGATGTGTGAGAAAGAACTTGCGCCACCAGACAGACGAAACCTACTGCTCTCCTTCACTTCACATATTCACTCGAGCTAGAAAGAGCAGACAGGCTGCAGACGGAGAAACCGAACATCACTCTAGAGATTTTAATCAAACTAAATATACAGCGTCTAGTTAATAAGGCTCTTGGCCAAAGTAACTATGACTTCATTCCTTCCTGTGAGTTAGCAAAACATCTGAGCACGTTCATGAATTATGTTATTGTTTCAGTGATCAATTCTGTGAAATGAGCTGCGGAGAAATGTTATTTTTCCTTGGAGAGCTCACAGAGGAAAATGATTGCTGAAACGTTGCTTCAGTTATGATTCAAATGAAACAAATATCTGAGTCAAGAGTAAAATGAATCTGGATAGTAGCCATTCATTCATTCGTTTGTTTACTTTTTATTTAGGTTTTATATTTTTTTGTTTATTTAGTTAGTTTGTATTTATAGTGGCAATATTGAGATGCAACAATATTATTTCATTTGTTTATTAGTGTTTGTTCATTTTTATGATTTTAATATTTATTTGAATATTCATTCATTTATTCATTCATTTGTTAGTTTTTAGTTTTTATTTAGTTTGAGTTTGCAGTGTTCATATTTGTCAGGAATATGGACCTGTTTTGTTGTGTTTTCCCTCCCCACGTGCTCCGTGACCCAGTTTCTCCCGTGCTTGATTGTGTTCATGTCATCCAGGTGTGTCTTGTAATTACCCTCGTTACCCCATGTATTTAAGTCCCAGTCTGTGCTGTCTGTCTTTGTCGGGTCTACTAACGTCATGTTCATGTGTCACAGTCATTCCTAGTGTGGATTACCCCTTGTTTTGGATTTATTAAAGACAGTGTGTGACAATATTAAGATTGAATAGTATTCGTTTATAAAATTTATTTACATTCATCCATTCATTCATTTCATTTGTTTGTATTTATAGTGTTCACATTGAAACTCAATTGTATCTTACAGAATTTATTTATAGAATCTGGGTAGTATTTATTTAATTATTAATTTTATTTAGTTGTATTTATAGTGTTCACATTGAAACTCAATAGTATATAATTTATTTATAGAATCTAGCTAGTGTTTATTTATTTATTCATTATTTATTTATAGTGTTCACATTGAGACTGAATAGTATTTATTTAATTTATATATTTATAGAATTTTATTTACATTCATTCAGTTATTCATTATTTATTTATTTATTTATTTAATTTAGTTTGTATTTATATTGGAACTCAATAGTATTTTTTTATAGAATCTGGGTAATATTTATTTTTTAATGTTTTTTGTTAGTTTTTATTGCGCTTGTGTTTATAGTGTTCATATTGAGACTAATATTTATAATTTATTTACAGTATTTTTATTTATTAATTTATTTGTTACTTTTTATTTAATTTGTATTTATTTGAATTTGAGACTTAACATTTAATCATTTAGCAGGTCCAGGAAAAGGTCCGTGAGAGTGATTTTGTGCCTCTTTGGGATAGCACCACAAGGCGCCGTTCACTTGCAGAACGCAAGCTTCTAAAGGGCGCATAAGTTTTAACTAGCGAGTTTAGGTATATTGGTGCAGCACTAGTGGTTGTCTTGTAGGCAAGCATCAGTACCTTGAATTTGATGCGAGCGGCTACTGGTAGCCAGTGTAACCTGATGAGGAGAGGAGTAACGTGAGCTTTTTTTGGCTCATTGAAGACCACTCTCGCTGCTGCATTCTGGATCAGTTGCAGAGGCTTGATAGTGCATGCCGGAAGGCCCGCCAAGAGAGCATTACAATAGTCCAGTCTGGAGA